CTCCTCCTTTTTCTCCTCCTTCTTGGGCTCCTCTTTCTTCTTGTCGTCCTTCTTCTCCTCCTTCTTGCCATCGTCCTTCTTCTTGTCATCCTTCTTCTTGTCCTCCTTCTTCTTGTCCTCCTTCTTGTCCTCCTTCTTGGGCTCCTCCTTTTTCTCCTCCTCGGGCATCGGCTCTGTGGTGAGGATCACTTTGCCGATGTTGTTCCTCTCCTGCATCTTTCTCATGGCATCGCCCACCTGGGGGAGGAATAGAAGGAGAAAGACACGATGAAGGAGTGAAGGGTGAAAGGAGGACGAGGAAGATTTTAAATACACTTGTCATTGAGAAAAACCTATTAAGGGTAGTAGCCAGCTTCTCCTGCACCAACACATACCCACAGCAATATGAGCCTCCTCACATTCTGTGCCTCTAATCTTTTGTTTTGATAGCACAGTCTGGAAACACATTTTACAGGCTTGTGCGCCTCAAATATCACTTTAATATGCAGTATATGAGAAACTACATTTGTTTAGATGAGACTTTAATAATCTTTGAGGGGAAATGAAATTGTTGCAGCAGCATAAGCTAAGAGGAGAAATAGAGGATAACAGAAGGATAACAAAATAAATGATGCAAATCTGCAAACAGATACTTTCTGTTTTAGAATGTATTAAGTATATAAATATAATAAAATGTTTATGATTATAAATAGGCAAGAAAGTACAAAGCTAATTTTTTTTGTTGCATAATTTTATTTAATATCCCATTGCTACCAAACAACAAATTTATTTTAATGAGAAAATGATATCATCTCTTCATTGAAAGGTGTTCGTCTGAGGGGGGATGAGGCAGATTTCCTGGACAGTGAATGATGGAGGGTAATGCTGGATGTGAGACCTTGGTTCAATCCTGGTCTTGTTTGGACGTCGGTTCTAGTAGGTGCAGTTTAATTGTGGCTTTAATGTCAATTCTTATGTCATAATTGTTGTAAAATGAAGTTGTGATGTTTTCTTTTCATTAAGTAGTAACGGAAATAAGACCAATAAAAGGATTCATTTTCACTCCTTCCTCACTGATGGAAGAGGCTACCGCAGATGTAGCAATCAATAAACCACTGCTATCAGATAGTGTTACATCTTAATATTAAAAGACAGGGTCACATTTTTCAAAACTCCATCCACTGACAAGCCCACATATGCAACTAAACGTTTTTAATCATTGTACAGGTTCTTCCTGTTCATACCGGCTGTAAAGAGATCATTTCCTAACCCGATTCCAATGTAGGTGTTGGGAGACAAAATCCATAGTCTTTGTTCTGATTCTTGTAGATAATATGAGGCTTCAGCAGTATGTGTTAAAGATACTAAGCAGCTACCTTCCAAAGTTACACACTGGTTTATGTTTTTATCTCTCCATTGCAGGTCAGCAAAGACATGTCGTTAAGTGAGACAAAGAGGGACTTTTGCTGTAAACCCTTAAAAGAGTTGCATAAATCAGATGGCTAAAGCATCACATTCATTTCAGCTCAATTTAAGAATAAATTTTTGTGGATTTCGCTCTTCTTACATTGAAATTGCTGTATGAAAAGATTTCTTCATAGCAACAATGGACATGGGAAACAATTACAGCAACCAAAAACGTTTTCCATTTACATATGGGCATGTGAGTTTTTTCACACGTTTCGCAGCCACCGTAGTTTCTCCTTTGCACTTGGGTAGATGCTACTAAATCCTGCACACTGGACCTTTGAGATAGACTTGGAAAAATGTGAACCTATCCTTTAAAGGCTCTTATTCATTACAGGTTAATTGCCTATGACACAGCACTTATCCGGTTAAAACTGTGGTAAATTTACAAGTGTCCAATTTGACATCAATCACTAAGATCTTTGTACAGAGTCCAAATTTTATCAAAGTACATTTTCTGTAGCGTGTGGAACAATGAGATCTTTTGTGACATAAAAGCTGAAATGAATGCGTTTACTTTTGAGGACAGAGATTCTTGTGTTGACAGCTAATCAGCCAAACCCCCCGGGTAGGAGGTGATGGATCGACCAACTTGGCCCCACTGACTGTCAATCATAACACGAGAGGAGAATCCCAGCAAGACCAACCTCACCCTCCTTTTGACCACCGAGCTCTGTCCACTGTCTGTTCCTGCCGCCATCGCTTCCCCCTCCCTCCGTCCTCCAATCCCCCTCATCGTGCAAGGCAGGCAGACCACCTAACGACCAATGCCACGGCAACAGGGCCATCTCCTAGCAACGTAAAGCCTGGCTGAAACGTGGCCCTGACGACTCAGACACATGGGAAAGGGAGAGTGTGGGAGTTCGAAGTGAAGCGAGGGGGTGGGAGGAGGGGACATAGGGAGCAACTGGTGTCCTTCAGATGAGGAGCACGCCTCAGCAAAACTAAAAGGGAGGGAGGGCTGAGTCCAGGAATTATAAGAATCATCTTCAATGTGAATGAAAGTCACAGTGAGAGCGTCTGAGGCTCTTTTTCGACGACTCCACCCACTTCCACCCATCACTCTCTAAGATCTGTCAACCTCTGGCTCCCAGGCATCTCGGACTCAAGTGTGCTATTTGCGGCTACAGACACAACCATTATCCTCTAGGCTATCAGTGCAGATGTAGATAATGAAGCAAGGGAAACCACAGGAGGGAGGGATAACACAAATTTTTCAATATTGCCCAAGAATTTAGATTTTGTATTGAGTATGGGAGCAAAAATAACGAAGAGTGACAATGGAGGAAGGGCTGTAGTGGATGGGGTCAGGGCGTGGCATTTGCACTCGTAATAATTGATCATTTATCTAGTTAAATATCTTTTAACAGTTTTTTGTCTTTGATGCTACTACAAGCGTCAGTATTTAAAGACGTGCACTCAAAACTTTACACGCCCGACCTCTTCAAGCCAGACTGAGATATACCTTATTCTCTCCTGTTTTTCTACGCTCCTTCCATGTCTCTTTCTCATACATCAGGGCCCCTCCCTAAGACAGACGCACACACTGACTAAAGGATGTCACCATAGCAACAAGAGAGAAAAAGCAAAAAAGATGCACTGTGAGGAGGGAGAAGAAGAGAATACAGCGAGACGGAGAGAGACAGAGAGAGAGTCAATAACCTAAAGACAGAGAGAAAGACTCTGATATAAAGAGCAGACAGATGGAGAGGCAGAGAAAGAGCGTCAGATGGCGGAGAAAGACAGCGGGTGTTTCTCTCTGGCCACAGTCGCACAGGCCAAAATACTGACCAGCTCCGACTTTGACAACAGAAGATGTCAGCCTCTGACTCCTCTTTCTCTCGGTGTTTTTCACACTCTCTATTCATATCTGTTAGCAGTGTTCATTTTGTCAGCAACAATCTGATTCTGTCTGGCTGAGTGAGTTATGCTCGAGGAGACACAGTGCTTTTTGTGGACAAACTTTGCCTGTTGAATGTTGAGCCTTATTCAATCCGAGCCACACCCAGCTCCTGCAGATCGCACTGCAAAACACACGGACCCACCTGGCATTCACATGAGTTCTGGGTGACTGGGTTGTAAGCGCATGGCATAAAAATGGATGTAATTCAGGTGTAAATGCATCCCTGTCACAGTGAATCATCTGGACATGCAGACTGAGGTGCACACGGGGGCTTTTAGTCCCACTAACAAGCAGGCATAAATGGACTTGAAATCCACACACAAAGGCTGTTCAGTGGAGATACAGCTTTGAGTGGGGATTCAACCTTAAAATACAAAAAAAAACAGCAGTTCAAATAGTAAAATACAGGTTAAAAAAATGTTTTGATCAATATGTGGCTTGAATATATCAGTATTTTTTATCATGATATATATTGTGATATATTAAATTTACTGGACAAGCTACTACACTACATTGCCTGCAATGTCATTGTCAAATATCATTTAAAAAAAATACATCTTCATATCTCCCAAAACTAATATAAGGACATTGTGAGAGAATGTGGCAACCACTGTTTTGATGGCAAATAGAGAAGGCAATCAGTCACACAATAAACAAAAAGTGAGCCAAATTTAGACACAAACCTGCTCAAGGTGCCAAGTAGAGTCGATGCGGGGCTTGATCTTGCCATCCTTGTAGAGATCCAGGACGGTGTTCATGGCCTGGGTGATGAGCTCCATCTCCCCGTCTAGGTAGCCCAGGTGGAAGCCGCACACCGACTTGTTTCCCTGGATCAAGCTGAGTGTGTGGATGGAGAACTGATGGTACCAGTTCTTGGCCACGGCAAGAAGGTTCTTCTTCTGGCCCGCTAGCATGTTAGCCGCACCTGACAGAGAAGGAGGGTAAAATCCCTATAATTTAAATCCCTATAATTGTAATTGTATAACTGATTTACTGGAGGGCTGATTCATTTTCTACCAAATTTTTAAAATTGCCAGAAAATAATCAGAATTTTGATAATTTGCTAGTTTCTGCTTCTCAAAGTTGAGAATTTGCCACTTTGTCTGTTTTATGTCATTGTGAATGGAATATCTTTGTTATTTATTTAGTTTTTGGGGTTTGGACTGTTGGTTGGAGAAACAAGCAATGAAAACATCATCTTGGGCTTTGGTGGAGTCTCATTTTATCTAATTATATGACATTTTATGGGCCAAAAATAAGAGCCTCATTAATCATTTGGCAACATGTCAAATCAACATTAAGTCCTGCCAGGTGCCTCTACTCATGAGGTTTAGATCTTTGCTCCGCCTCTCTTTCTGTGTACACTCACACTCTCACCTACGCCTTCCACCCTGAAAACCTTTTTAGCAGTTTGGTTCTCACTGTCACCACATCCCCTTCTTATGCCCTCCTTCTGTGTTCACACAGCCTCCTATGGTCTCACTGTCTCTCTCCCGGGGGAAACAGGGGACACAAAGCATGCTCTGAGAGAAGAGAGGGACCCAGCCTGCTACATTCAGACACATTCCAGGTTTCGTGTGGATAGAACGCCCATTGTTCCGCCATTGCATACTTCTGATAAGCTGGAAGAGGAGCAGCCAGCACCGAGGGACCGGGAGGGTGGGGTGGGGCTT